GGGAAACAGTCGTGACTCGCTAGTGGATTTCTCCAGCGATGTATCGTACGGCTGTAGCGAAGCGCGAGTTACGGTGTTGAACGGGAAACACACACTCCTGAGCGTCTCTCTCGCTGTTACCCTGAACATTGTATAAGCATTAGTTTCATGTGTCGCTGAACGGGAGCGTAAACATCACATCCGTTAGATTTTTTCCCGAGTCCTTCATATAAACAGAGTCCCGCGGGAACGTTTAGGCAGAACCGCGCGTCGAACTCGCTTTAAGCCGCCGTGTCTGATAGCATCTTTAATTATTCACATCCGCCTGGTCTTTGATAATTACCTGCCCGGCCGAGCACGTGAGCACCGGCTGGGTCATCCGCACGGGTTTATTTTTAGCCGGCGAGATGAACAGGTTTCATTAGAGATCCGACTGATGTGCGGGGAGGTGATGTCCCCAGAAACACAGCCGGAGTCATTAGACATTCAACAAAAGTAGGCCATCCGAAGCTCGGCTCGCTCGGCTTTGAGAGGGGAAAGGAGGATGAGGAAGGTGGAGGGGAAAGACATCGATGACTTACTCACACAGCCGAACGCAATAGCAGCCAATTAAGATGCCAAAGCAAGAGAGGAATCTGACGGATTCTAGTCGTGCATCAATAATGCCGCTTGGTTAATTAGTCATGAGCGTGAAAAAGAACACAGATAAGGGAGAATTCTTTATTTTTAGAGCTGTCAATCAATTCAGAAATGTCACTGAATAAATTATAGAATAACAAGATATGATGATTAATTAGTCAAACTAGTCGCATATCAGTCTGACAGATTATTTTGTGCTTTCTAGATGAGAAAAGCATCAATATATCGTTTTGATTTCATATTCACACAGTGTTTTGTTCATGAATGTATACATGAAACTTCACTGTGTTTCAGCGGCTTGCGTCGCGAGCGCTAACAGCCGACTCGCGTAAACATGGCGGTCGGAAAACTCTTTATTGCTGAATTTAAATGCTATTTATTACATTTATATTATAATATGTTAATAGCGTATTAATATTATAACACTTATTATATATTTATATAGTATATTTGTTAATTTTACTGTTAATCGACAAAAAAAATATTAAAAACCAACAATTTAGCAATCCCTAAAGTAGTAAAATCAAAAAAAAAATACACACACACTATAAATATATATGTGTGTGTGTGCGTATATATATATATGTGTGTATATATATATAGATATTTACGGTATATATATATACTGTAAATATCTATATATGTATACAAAATAATCACATATTACATGTTGGCTCACATTAGCATCGTATTGGAAGCATTGAAATAATTTCCTCTTTAATGATGACCAATGTTTTATGTCAACATTTGATTCTGCAGCATTTTAACAAGAGAAAAATCCAATTATCACATGAAAAGCCATTATACACATGTCCTGGAATAATAATGTATATCCAGGAATATTAAAATCAGCCGGCAGCTAAATTCCTGTTCCTCATCTTTCTGTAATTATGATTCATTTCCCGCAGCGTGAGCGCATGTAAATGTCACGCGTGTTCTGCAGCAACTCGGCCTGGAAAGGAGCGGATGATCTGTCCGATCCGCTGACCAGGGGTCAGTTTCACCGTTAGACAACTATGGTCACAAGTTCTGTCGTTATCAGTCGGTTAGCGAGTCGGTGTTTCACGAAACCATCGTTACAACGAACATTCGCAAACAGTATCGCAGAGGAGTGTGTGTGAGCGACAGCATCGCAGAGGAGTGTGTTTGAGCGACAGCATCACAGAGGAGTGTGTGTGAGCGACAGCATCACAGAGGAGTGTGTTTGAGCGACAGCATCACAGAGGAGTGTGTGTGAGCGACAGCATCGCAGAGGTGTGTGTTTGAGCGACAGTATCGCAGAGGAGTGTGTGTGAGCGACAGCATCGCAGAGGTGTGTGTGTGAGCGACAGCATCGCAGAGGTGTGTGTTTGAGCGACAGCATCGCAGAGGTGTGTGTGTGAGCGACAGCATCGCAGAGGTGTGTGTTTGAGCGACAGCATTACAGAGGTGTGTGTTTGAGCGACAGCATCGCAGAGGTGTGTGTGTGAGCGACAGATCTCGACCTGCGGTTAGAAGCAGTTTCTAGTTTGCATGACATGTGGACTCAATAAATCCTGATCTTGAGACAAATAATCAAGCTGACATTCAGTGCAATCTGTGTCTGAGAATACATACAAATAATAAATAAATAATAATAATACGTTTTATTTATATTGCGCCTTTCCAGAGCTCAAGGACGCTTTACAATAGACAAGCAACAGTAAAGTCAGTGGACAAAGACAGCAGACAAAACAACAGGGTAGGTAGATGACAGTGGTACAAAAAAAAAAAGTACAACTTAGGAGTTATGACATTCAGAAAATAAGTGAGTTTTGAGCATGGATTTGAATTCAGAAATAGTGTTAACAGAACAGAGTGATCGGGGGAGAGAGTTCCTCATTTTTGGGCGCTACAACACTGAATGATCTGCCCCCCATCGAAACAAGGCGATGCCGAGGGACGACGAGAAGGCTAGAGTCGGAGGATCGTAGGGTGCGAGTCGGGGTGTAGGGGTGGAGCCGGTTACAGAGATAGGGGGGAGCCAAGCCGTGCAGAGATTTAAAGGTGAGAAGGAGAATTTTGAATTTAATACGGTAAGCCACTGGAAGCCAGTGAAGATCATGCAAAACTGGAGTGATTGTGCAGAACGCTTGGTATAGGTGAGTATTCTGGCAGCAGGGTTTTGAATCTATTGCAATTTGGAAATGGAGCTAGCAGATAGGCCAATGAAAAGTGCATTGCAGTAATCGAGACGTGAAGTGACAAATGCATGGATGACAGTTTCAGCGTCTGAGATACTGATGAAGGGACGGAGCTGAGCGATGCGGCGTAGATGAAAGAATGCTGTTTTAGTGATAGATTTAATGTGAGAATGGAAAGATAGAGAGAAGTCAAAGATTACACCAAGATTTTTAACAGTACTAGATGGTTTGATATGAGAGCCAGCGAACTCACAGGTGAAGTTAGTAGGAATTTTGTTAGTGAGTGACGGAGGTCCGGTAAAAATAATCTCAGTTTTGTCCATGTTAAGTTTTAGAAAATTTGAATGAAGCCAATCTTTTATTTCATGCACACAAGCAGAGATGTTTTCGGTTGTGATGGATAGAGTCGATGTACAGGTAGTATATAATTGAATGTCGTCAGCGTAAAAATGCTAATTAAAACCATGACGGCGGAGGATCTGACCAAGAGGTATTATATAAATTATGAATTACAATGGCCCTAGAACGGATCCCTGGGGAACACCTTGCTTTAGGGGGACAGTAGATGAACGGAAATCCTGAACTGAAATGTAGAACTGTCTACATTTCAGTTCAGGAAAGAGCAAACCAAGAAAGAGCAACACCAGAAGTACCCACATCCGAAAGGCGAGAAATGAGTAGTTGATGGGAGACCGTATCAAAGGCAGAGCTGAGGTCGAGCAGTAGGAGCATAGACAGAGAACCAGAGTCACCAGAGAGAAGCAGATCATTGAGTACCTTAACTAATGCAGTTTAAGTGCTATGTAGAGGGTGAAAACCAGATTGAAGAGGATCGAAAAGATTATTTTCGACTAGAAAAGACTGAAGCTGGGAGGCAACAGTACTTTCTAGTAATTTAGCTATGAATGGTAGATTTGAAATAGGACGATAGTTAGATAATACTGAGGGATCAAGGTTATTTATCATGTCATTTACATCTATAAGTTTGTCAAGAGATTTAAAGTGTAGTGTGTGAAGAGTGCGCATGTGTGAACGAGCTCTAGTGTGTAAGAACGAGCTGATGAGTGAATCTGGAAATAAAGCAAAATAACTGAGAAAAATGAGAATTATTCCTCAGATGCATGTGTGCGAATTAACGCGAGATGTTTTGCTATCAATCAATCTCATACAGATTCATTAACAGTAGTTATTACTCCTCCATCTGCGTGACATCATTAACCAACGCGGTTGAACGACCAATTTGTGACAATATGGTTTCGGGAAACAGTCGTGACTCGCTAGTGGATTTCTCCAACGATGCATCGTACGACTGTAGCGAAGCTGCGAGTTACGGCGGTGTGCGTAATGACCCGTCCTGACTCTCTGTGGTCATTAAAAATCCCAGGATGTCCTTTGGAAAAAGAGTAGGGGTGTAACCCCGGTGTCCTGGCCAGATCTGCCCAGTGGCCTCTGTCCATCATGGCCTCCTAATCATCCCCATATATATATACACTGATTGGCTTCATCACTCGGTCTCCTCTCCACCAATGACCTGGTGTGTGTTGTGCGTTCTGGCACAAAATGGCTGCCGTCGCATCATCATCCAGGTGATGCTGTACATCATAGATATCCATAATAAAGGCTAGATGTCTTACGGCGGAGTCTCTATCGTCATCACCGGCGGCCATCTTGTCACAGGCAAGCTTTCTGGCGGGCTCTGTGGTGCCTGATGTAAGATGAGCGATCAGCACGAACACAAATACTCTTATTTCGTTGAAATCTTGACGGATTTACAAACGGTTTGGTTTCTTACAAACGTTATTAACGTGGCTATAATTCTGGATGATTATTTATTCATACACTTATTATTCATAAGTGTGCAGTGTCATAACTACATCTCTGACGTTTATAACAAACCAAACCGTTTAAAAATCGGTAGAAAATTGAGCAAGTTATGGTTATTTAAAAAGTACATACACCATTAAAACACAATGTTACGAGTGAGCGAGCTGCCTGTGGCAAGATGGCCGCCAGGTGCGGACGTCGACCTCCATTGGCCAGCAGCGCGGACGAGACATCTAGCCTTTATTATGGATATCTATAGTTTACATTGGTGGTGGCTGAGGAGATTCCCCCCTTCTATGTAAAGCGCTTTGAGTACCCAGGAAAGCACTAAATACTGTAACGTATGATTATTACGGGAACCCCCCCCCCCCCCCCCCCGGTTGATTGACGGCTCACCTTCGCAGAAAGCGCTGTCCTCGCGTAGCGGTCGAAAGCCGTTCTTGCAGTTGCAACTGGCGCCGGCGTCCAAGTTCACGCAGGCCGAGTTCTCCGCGCACATGTTGTCCTCGGCGCAGAAGTCGTGACCTTTAACCCCAGATAGAGGAGTTGGTAACACTTTACAATAAGGTTCATTAGTTAATGTATTAACTAACATGAACTAACCATGAGAAATACATTTGGGTTACACTTTATTTTAAGGTGTCATTGTTACAGTGTAATTATATATTTAATTACTGAGTAATATTAAGCAACTACATAGGGTTAGGGTTAGTTGCATGTAATTATGCTTAATTTACTGTTATGGTAAGTACATGTAAAATATGTAACAAGGACACTGTAAAATAAAGTGTTACCTACATTTGTTACTGTATTTGTTAATCTTTGTTAATGTTCGTTAATAAAAATACAGTCATTCATTGTTTGTTCATGTTAGTTCACAGTGCATAACTAATGTTAACAAGATTTTAATAATATATTAGTAAATGTTGAAATTAACATGAACAATGATTAACAAATGCTGTAGAAGTGCAGTTCATTATTAGCTCACGAATGTTAACTAATGAACCTTATTGTAAAGTGTTACCGAGGAGTTGGATTTATATTGATGAATTTATGCTACTAGAAACACTGAACCGCTAAAGGTCAGCCGAAGGTCAAACTAATCACACCGATCATTGTATTTTCTGTAACAATCAGCAACTTTTAAAAGAGGTTTTCCCGCACAGAATGAGCCAGATGTTGTGACGTACCTCTGCAGACTCGGCAGCATCGGTCTGTGAGTGAGATCTGATCCGCTTCAGCACAGGAGAGCTGGGGACAGTCTTCAGTGTTCGGGACTCTATGCATCGTGTGATCCTGAAATAAATCATAAATAATATAAAAATGTGACTGCATTGAGTTCTTTTACGCAACATTATGTCGAAATGCCCGTTATTGGCAAGAGTCCCTGTACGTCTTAAATGAGTAAAGTCTTAAATGACCACTAAGAGTTGTGAGAACATCGGATACGTGTCTGTTTTTCATGGTGATGGAAAAAATAATGAGATGCGAGGAAAAAACACTTTTGCGTTCCCCGTGGAAACTTTGTGCTCGCTTGCAAAACTAAAAAAGCGAACGCAAAGTTTCTCGGGGAACGCAACACATTTCGGGGAACGCAGAAGCATGTGTTTCTTCCTCCCATCTCATATTTTTGTTTCATCACCATGCTCCTTTAGGGTCAGTCAGATCCACGACAGGTCTTAAAGTGACAGCAGCCTAATAAACCTGTTTATTAATGTTAATCACGATACAATAACTTGCAGCTCTTGGCTGAATAACTTTTGTAGATTTAATAAGGATTAATCTATATATTTTGCCAGAGCAAGCAAAAATCTGACCTGGCCTGAAATAGAAAAAAATCCATTGAAATACATGTAATCGATTGACAGTACGTTTATATATATATATATATACAGTATATATATATACAGCTGAAACTCGGAAAATTAGAATATGGTGCAAAAGTTCATTTATTTCAGTAATTCAACTTAAAATGTGAAACTAATATATTATATAGACTCATTACAGGCAAAGTGAGATATTTCAAGCCTTTATTTGTTATAATTGTGATGATTATGGCTTACAGATATGAAAACCTTTTCACAATATTCTAATTTTGAATTTGGGGTTTTCATAAGTCGTAATCCATAATCATCAAAATTATAACAAATAAAGGCGTGAAATATCTCACTTTGCATGTAATGAGTCTCATTCATGAAACACGAGCAGAACGAATTTTTGTGTAAATCGTGTGTAAAGTGGTTCTGACGTAAATTTTCGGATTCATTAAAATGTTCGTATTTTCCAAATGTTGTTGGTACACAAGAAATCTACACCTGCTCCCAGCCACGCGTTAATAGTGCGCTTAACACCCGAACGTTTTGCTCATTAATAAGGCTGCATTTTAATTCACCTTAATCGGGTACATATTTGCACAGCGTTTTGAAAAAAATATTATATATAGTAATTGCATACGGTTTTTCTTATTATGAGAGCCAGTAATATCGCAGATGCTATTACTGGCTATTAATGGAGTTTCATCTGTTAATCGAACATTCCCAGAAGTGAGAAGAAAATGGTTCGACATTAACAGATGAAACTCCAGTAACTGCATTTGTAATATGCTGCCAAGCTTCCTTTTATTTTAGGACCTGATACGCCACTATGCACGCTTGAAAATAAAATGTGGCGTTTTGAATGAACTTCTGATAATAAAACTTCAATTTCTGCATCTGAGAATTTTTTTTTCATTTGCATTCATGTCATAATATGATGCCCATATATAGTTGTCAGTCGGATATATGGGCGGGATTTATGGTAATTGAGAATGAGCGTGCACGCGCGTCCCATTTACGACTGATTGGAATTCATTAACACACACACACATATTTCACTATGACATCTGACGTTTACGAAGTATTTGTGAATCAGGAGATGAGTTTTCGGGAAGGTCTCTTTACGCGAAAATCACTCTCATATTTACTCGTATATTTACGAATGTTTCATGAATGAAACAATGAGTCTATATAATATATTAGTTTCACCTTTTAAGTTGAATTACTGAAATAAATGAACTTTTGCACCATATTCTCATTTTTCGAGTTTCACCTGCATATATACAAAATACACACACACACACACACACATATATATATACACTTTATAATTTCTAAAACATTAAATATATTTGTTCAATTAAAATATATATTTTTTAAATATAAAATTTTTATTATATACATGTATATATTTATAATATTTTTATAAAATATTAAGGGTGTCTATATATTTGATGTTTATATATAACTTAAATATATCAAATTTTAAATAAAATATAAAATAAAATCTATATTATATAAATAATTTTGCATGTATGTTTGTACGTATGTATATGTATATATATATATATATATACACTTTATAATTTCTAAAACATTAAATATATTTGTTTAATTAAAATATATATTTTTTAAATATAAATATTTGATTATATACATATACATGTATATATTTATAATATTTTTATAAAATATTAAGGGTGTCTTTATATATTTGATGTTTATATATAACTTAAATATATCAAATTTAAAACAATATATAAAATCAAATCTATATTATATAAATAATTTTGTATGTATGTATGTATGTTTGTACGTATATATATATATATATATATATATATATATATATATATATACATACATACATACATACATACATATTAGTATTATTATTATTATTTTATGTTATACCAATACAGAGGAGCAGTTGTAAAGATGTGTACCCTGCACTCAAACAGCTGGCAGAGTCCAGAGGGATGATGAACAGCACAGCGCAGTCCTTCCGCCAGCGTCTGCTCCGAGAACAAGCACATCGCTGCAGAAACAACCAAACAACCATAAACAAACACGCTGATACACTCCTCCATATGCACACACACCTGCAGGCGGCCGTCCGGATACTGATACCAGCATATTATCTACTGCTTTGGGTCCAAAACAACATTAAGGCTCGTTCACACCAAGGAACCATAACTATAAATATATCCGTCTAAAAATCTTTCTAAATATAAAAGAATAGCACAGCACAACTATAACGATAACAGCACAGAAGAACAATATCGTTGCAATCACTTTCAGAGCAATTTAATGAATGATAAAAACATTGACAGCCAATCAGAATCCACTGAGCATTTAAAGTGACAGGCGACGAAAACTGCAGCACTTATAGAACGATATCGTGCGCTGGTGTGGACGATTATATAGTTATCAATCTTGGTGTGAACGAGCATTTAGACCCCATTGACTTTCACCAAATGGACAAAAAAGTTTAATTTGTATAGTGCTTTTACAGAAATTCATATGTTTTTTTAATGCCTTAATGCCTCACATGGAGCAGTCTAGAAACAGGTGATGGTGTCGTTTACATTTGGAGATGATATAAACCATTAAGCAAATGAGATTTACTTTATGTAAGTTTTGAGTCTGACACATTTTCAAAATATCGTATTTTATGATCCATAAAAGAACTAAAGTCCTACACGTTGTCATGATTAAATGATGAGAATTTTTTCTTGCTGAACTAAAACTGTCCTTTTAAGCTCACTTTACATTGTTATTCAAATGAAAGTTAGAGTTTGAATATTTGGAAACTTTCAAACAAAAGCATGACGTGACTCAGCAGAAAACCCAAAATGAAACCTGGAGCTGAACAAAACCACAAACAACGATGATTACAAGACGTCTGAGGCGATAATTGCTCCCAGGACAGCAATTATTTCCTCATCTGACTTTAAATACGACAGACTAAACGCCACGAGAACCTTTCTTAGAAATTAAATGAATCGTTTCTGCTGTTTGCTACAACAATAACCAATGATTCACTGAAATCATGTGTGTTTTTGAGAAGAGGTGAGCTGTTACTTTACTAAGTAAGTTTTCTTAAGCAAATATCTTCTCTTATTTAGAAAACAATCATCATTAGGCATTAAACACACTTTAACAGTAATTACACTGAGAGAATTGTAGTAGATCATGCATAAACACTATATTATTTAATTGCAGATGTGTGTTTTTGTTCAGTGTTTTGTGGAAGAAACGAATGTACACACAGTCGGAGATCGACACGAGCCGGATATAGCAGCCAAAACGTTCAGGAGAGAAAGATATTCTCCAGAAACAAAACCTGAGAGACGCTTTGACCCAAACGGCCACAAACACTCAGAACGACAGCGAAACCTTTATACATATCTGATGAAAACAATGTGGGAGCGCGTGTCAGCTAAATTACCACAGATGAAAAAATACTCACAAATTAATCTTTAATGTTTATTTTGAGGGAAACGTTAAGCTGAAGATCTGAAATGGAGTTCAGGGTTTTACTAATTATTAGGATGGAAAGTTAACTAGTCCTGCTAGCTTGTAACTCAGTGCTATATTTGTAGTACTTGTTCTGAAAGTCAACATGAAAGTGTGTCTGCAGCCCATTTTTACGCCGTAATGTGATTTATTTTCAAGTAAAACAAGATGTTCAATAATAAAGTCCTCAGAAATGAAGTGAAGTGTAAGTTCTGGCAGGTCACGCTAGTCAAGCTCGCATCAGTGACTCTCAGCTGATCCTCTAACTATAGGTATACGACGCCTATCACTGTATACATATATAAGCTCCTCCTCCATCATGTATAAGCTCCTCCTCCATCATATATAAGCTCCTCCTCCATCATATATAAGCTCCTCCTCCATCATATATAAGCCCCTCCTCCATCATATATAAGCCCCTCCTCCATTGTATATAAGCTACTCCTCCATCATATATAAGCTCCTCCTCCATCATATATAAGCCCCTCCTCCATCATATATAAGCTCCTCCTCCATCATATATAAGCTCCTCCTCCATCATGTATAAGCTCCTCCTCCATCATATATAAGCTCCTCCTCCATCATATATAAGCCCCTCCTCCATTGTATATAAGCTCCTCCTCCATCATATATAAGCTCCTCCTCCATCATATATAAGCTCCTCCTCCATCATATATAAGCCCCTCCTCCATTGTATATAAGCTCCTCCATCATATATAAGCTCCTCCTCCATCATATATAGTTACCCTCCTCCATCATATATAAGCTCCTCCTCCATCATATATAAGCCCCTCCTCCATTGTATATAAGCTCCTCCATCATATATAAGCTCCTCCTCCATCATATATAATTACCCTCCTCCATCATATATAAGCTCCTCCTCCATCATATATAAGCCCCTCCTCCATCATATATAATTACCCTCCTCCATCATATATAAGCTCGTCCTCCATCATATATAAGCTCCTGCTCCATCATATATAATTACCCTCCTCCATCATATATAAGCTCGTCCTCCATCATATATAAGCCCCTCCTCCATCATATATAATTACCCTCCTCCATCATATATAAGCTCCTCCTCCATCATATATAAGCTCCTCCTCCATCATATATAAGCTCCTCCTCCATCATGTATAAGCTCCTCCTCCATCATATATAAGCTCCTCCTCCATCATATATAAGCTCGTCCTCCATCATATATAAGCCCCTCCTCCATCATATATAATTACCCTCCTCCATCATATATAAGCTCCTCCTCCATCATATTTAATTACCCTCCTCCATATATAAGCTCGTCCTCCATCATATATAAGCCCCTCCTCCTTCATATATAATTACCCTCCTCCATCATATATAAGCTCCTCCTCCATCATATATAAGCTCCTCCTCCATCATATATAATTACCCTCCTCCATCATATATAAGCTCCTCCTCCATCATATATAAGCTCCTCCTCCATCATATATAAGCTCCTTCTCCATCATATATAAGCTCCTCCTCCATCATATTTAATTACCCTCCTCCATATATAAGCTCCTCCTCCATCATATATAAGCTCCTCCTCCATCATATATAATTACCCTCTTCATCATATATAAGCTCCTCCTCCATCATATATAAGCTCCAGTCCTCGTCCATCATATATAAGCTCCTCCTCCATCATATATAAGCTCCTCCATCATATATAAGCTCCTCCTCCATCATATATAAGCTCCTCCTCCATCATATATAAGCTCCTCCATCATATATAAGCTCCTCCTCCATCCCCCTTCTCTCATCAGTCAGCATTTGGAATTCTGATTCCCCTTGAATCAGAATAAATTCTCGAATTATATTGTACTTTAAAATCTTAAATTAATGATATCTGCAATACATTGATGTTGATTCTGTAGTGTTTTCCCCTAAGGAGGGTTATCGTATCATATTTGACGATAGTGTTCCTGAAAGAAATATGTTTACATATTCGTAAACAGGAAGCAGTTTTGCAAAACTGTTAATTTAACTTTTAATGTGTTGCATCGTTAACATTAATTGCATCATGTATATCATATATATAATTTTATAATATGTATAATTTAATATTATCATCATGTATATCATATATATATAATTTTATAATATGTATAATTATAATATATAAAATATATATATAATATTATAACAATAAGACATTTTAATTAGAGCACTATCTACTGGATTGTATTTTTTATTATATAATATTATACTTATATAAAATTATGTGATTTCAGTTCATACATAATAAAACGTGAAATATGATATCATGATAGTATGTAAAAAAATTGTATATTTAGTCACCCTGATATGTTTATGTAAATATATGCAAATTAATTTATGTAAATAATAAATATTCATTTACCGTATATAAAATTAACCAGGTGCAACAAGCTGGAAAAAAATATTTAGATGTTTTTATGTTAAAACAATGCATGCTTGGTTATATTTTTACGTAATATTTCATTTATGTGTGGTGTTATATTTAAATGTTTTGTAACTTTGCGCTGCTCCCATGCTAAGGCTAACTCAGGCAGGGTTCAAACGAAGGGGTTTTTGCTGCAGAAATGAGCGCTAACTCAGAAATTAGCATGGATATCAACTATGACTAATAATACAGCAGGGTCATCTTCACTTCTTAATTATAACTGAATAAATTAGCTGTGACGATAATGACCCGTATCAAAACACCGGCTCATCAGACGAGGGTAACGCAGTTATTCCTCAGTATTGAACATGGGGACAGAATTACAGACTGTATTTTATATAGTTCATATACAAAAAATGTTTTGTCTATAAAGTGGCTCGGGATGTTTAAAATGAAATATGCATTTGCATAACCCTCATAGGGCTGCGTGTTTATTGGCTTGTGATAAATAATTGATTTGAATATGTAAATGTGCTGCTTGACACCTCTGGAGACGGAGTGTGGGTGTAGCTTAGCAACACAAGTGTGTGGTCAGCTGTTAGGCAACCCTGTGAAGGAGGTGTAAGGAGTCTGAGTGTGTGTGTGTGTGTGTGTGTGTGTGTGTGTGTGTGTGTGTGTGTGTGTGTGTGTGTGTGTGTGTGTGTGTGTGTGTGTGTGTGTGTGTGTGTGTGTGTGTGCGTGTGTGTGTGTGTGTGTGTGAGCGTGTGTGTGTGTGTGTGTGTGTGTGTGTGTGTGTGTGTGTGTGTGTGTGTGCGTGCGTGTGCGCGCTTGTGCGTGTGTGTGTGTGTGTGTGTGTGTGTGTGTGTGTGTGCGTGCGTGTGCGCGCTTGTGCGTGTGTGTGTGTGTGTGTGTGTGTGCGTGCGTGTGCGCGCCTGTGCGTGTGTGTGTGTGTGTGTGTGTGTGTGTGTGTGTGTGTGTGTGTGTGTGTGTGTGTGTGTGTGCGTGTGTGTGTGTGTGTGTGTGTGTGTGTGTGTACTCACAGAGGCACTCTTTGCAGCAGGATCCTGACACATACGCCGGGGTCGTACCATCAGGACACTCGAGCGGGGGACACACAATCTTCTCACAGCGGACGGTCCCGTTCTGCAGAAGTGCAGACAGTCAGTCAGTGCTGGTGGGTCTAATGGTGAGAGCTCAAATAATGCTAAAGGTGTTCAACTACAGTCAAGATGTCATTTTGTTTAGTTTGCTTTAGTACAAGTAGAACTGCAACACAATGATTCCTGCAAGAATGACCCTGATTTGCTAAACGATTCGATAAAAAAATTAGCTAAATGATTCAGAAAATGATTTGGTAAATGAATTTTTAAACGATTGCCGAAATGATTTGCTAAACAATTCATTCAATTATTTGCTGAAAGATTGTCTAAATGGTTCACAAAATGTTTAGCTAAATGATTCGTTAAGCGCTTGGCGAAATTATTCGCTAAATGATTTGCTAAGTGTTTCGCTGAATATTGCATTGAATGATTCATTAACAAATTGCTGAAAGATTCTCTAAATGATTCACAGAATGATTCTATAAAGGTAAAGCTATAGCTATAACGATCACCGTAACTATAATATAATATATTAATTAAATAATTTTTAATGTTTCACTAAATGAATAACTAAATAAATCAGACTTTTGAATCAAACAAAGCTTTAATTTAATTTAATTTATAGTTGACTTAATTTATAGTTAATTTATAGTTTAAGGCAAATAGTTGACTTATTAAAAAAAATTATCAAATAGAATTCAATAAAATAATAATTTTATTATTTCACTGAATTCTATTTGATTTCATTTTTGAATAAGTCAACTATTTGCCAATGGCTTTGAAAAAATAAATTAAATTCAAGATATATTTCTTAAAAAACAAGTCGTATCTTACACAATTTAACTGACGTTGTTTTAATGATGCATTTCAGTAATGATAATTGACTAGAAGATGAGTTTAGTTACTCTGTGACATATAGTGCGTATATCCATTTTTCATATTTTTCCGAGCCTCACAGAGTCTGCAGGAACTCTCGTCTCCCTAAAGCATGACATCCGTCACTTTAAGCCAAATAAAGATAATGTTCCTCCACACACATCTGGATCCGCTGGTCGTTTCGCCTGTCTCATCCGAGCCGGCTCCACAGACCGAGAGCACAGTGTGTTAGCACACATCGAGCGCATTAGAGAGCAGCTAGCGACTAGCGTCTGTCACAGGAGCACAGGGACTTCTAAAGATAGGACAGAATCCCTCCGTCTGTCACTTTGCATTCGCCACAATATTCATCTTACTCGCGGATAATAAATGTATAATGAGTGAGGAAGAAAGATGAGAAACCTTTCAGCGTGTTCCCTTTGAAACGATACACATCCGTGTTTACATTAGCCTCGCTACACGTTTAAGTGGAACGCTCTGTTGCGTCTGACCTTTGAGACGACATGCAAATCTCGCTGCCTTTCCCAGTGTTTACAGAACAAGCACACCGCTAATTAGCTAATTGCACACTGCTTGATTGGGTGTGCGCTGCTTGATTAAACGCCATTCAACTAGTAAAGCTTGGTTTGTAGACGACATGAACATTGCCATGGGATTTCACACGTTTTTGTTTATGAATATATGAAGCGTTTTCAAGCACAAGATGGCGCTACTTAGCACACTAGCTAATTAGCTAGACAGAAGAATTGCTAATTAGCTAATAGCAATTCTTCCTTGGGCTTGTATTTTGTTGGGCTTGTATTTTGTATTTTCACAATGAGGTCTGTTCGCACCAAGAACGATAACTATAAAGATAACAATAACTATAATAACTATAATGATAACTATAACCATAACAACTATAACTATAAAGATAACTATGACAATAACCATAACCATAACTATAACTATAATGATAGCTATAACTGTGATAGCTATATTAAGCATAACAATAACTACAATGATAATTACAAAGATAATTATAACTATACCAATAACTATAACGATAACTATAATAGTAACTATAGCAATAAATATAGCAATAACTGTAATGGTAACTTTAGCAATAACTATAATAATTTTAATGATAACTACAGATAACTATCATGTAGCAATAACTGTAATGGTAACTATAGCAATAACTATAATAATTTTAACGATAACTACAGATAACTATCATGTAGCTATAGTTATAACTAGCAATAACTATAGCAATAACTGTAATGATAACTATAAATATAATGGTAACTGTAGCGATAACTATAACGATAACTATAATGATAACTATTGCAATAACTTTAACGATAACTATAATTATAACTATAACTATAATGTTAACTGTTACGATAACTATAATGATAACTATAACTATAATGTTAACTATAGCAATAACTATAATGTTAAATTTAATGGTAAGTGTTACGATAACTATAATGTTAACTATAGCAATAACTATAATGATAACTTTAACGATAACTATAATGGTAACTATAGCAAAAACTATAACGATAACGATAACAATAATGATAACTATAACTATAACTATAAAGATAACTATAACGATAACTATAGCATTAACTATAACGATAACAATAATGATAACTATAACAATAACTATAAAGATAACTATAACGATAACTATAACGATAACAATAATGATAACTATAGCATTAACTATAACGATAACAATAATGATAACTATAACGATAACTATAGCATTAACTATAACGATAACAATAATGATAACTATAACAATAACTATAAAGATAACTATAACGATAACTATAACGATAACAATAATGATAACTATAACGATAACGATAACTATAACTATAAAGATAACTATAACGATAACTATAACGATAACAATGATAACTATAACGATAACGATAACTATAACTATAACTGTAAAGATAACTATAACGATAACTATAACGACAACAATAATGATAACTATAACGATAACTATAAAGATAACTATAACGATAACTATAACGATAACTATAACGATAAAAATAACAATAACGATAACTATAACGATAACTATAACGATAACTATAACGATAACTATAACGATAACAATAATGATAACTATAACGATAACTATAACGATAACTATAACGATAACAATAATGATAACTATAACGATAACTATAAAGATAACTATAACGATAACTATAACGATAACTATAACGATAACAATAATGATAACTATAACGATAACTATAACGATAACAATAATGAGAACTATAACGATAACTATAACGATAACTATAACGATAACAATAATGATAACTATAACGATAACTATAACTATAACAATAATGATAACTATAACGATAACTATAAAGATAACTATAACGATAACTATAACGATAACAATAATGAGAACTATAACGATAACTATAACGATAACAATAATGTTAACTATAACTATAACGAAAACTATAACTATAACTATAAAGATAACTATAACGATAACTATAACGATAACAATAACGATAACTATAACTATAATGATTACTATAACGATAACGCTAACTATAACAATAATTATTTAGCGTCCACACCAGCACATGATATCGTTCTGTTTATTATAAGCGTTGCAGTTTTTTCAAGCTCTTTAAAGCCGGATGGATTCTGATTGTCTGTCGAAGTTTTTATCGTTCATCATCTGGAAAAAAAATCATTCTGAAATCGTTCATCCATACCATTATCGTTATAGTTGGACTGTGAACTTTGCTATTCTCTTAGAGTTAAAACAATTTTTGAAACTATATGGTTCAAAGTCATCATAATCCTTGGTGTGAACGGTCCTTTAATCCATATTTCTCATGAGTAAATAACATAATGCAGTCTTTGCAATCGTTCTACCGTAGTATAAACCATAGACTGTGTAAAATCCGTATGTTTCTGAAGAGCATTTTTGAAGCCCAAAGTGGGCGGAGCCGGCCGTCGCCATCTTGGCCGCGCATCACTCCCGGATAAACGACAGTGTGCAGCGAGGCGGATTAGCTGAGGTGACGTGACGCTAACACACAGCAGACAAACGGCTAGCAGTGACATCAGTGGCAATCCACCTGTCACTCAAGTGGCCACGCCCTTAATTTGCAGAACTTTAAGGCTTAACATTTAAACGGATGAGTTATAAAAAAATTCACTCCCCTCACAGTCGCCATGAAGGGCAATATTAGCTATATAGACCAAACACACTTTATGCACCAGGCTGTAAACACATTTTTTACTGCAGTAAAGTTGAGCATTTTAACATGCGGGTCTATGGGAATGACTCTCTTCTGCAGCCGGTCTCTAGTGGCCAGTGGAGGAACTGCAGTTTGAGTCACTTCAGTGTTGGATTCAAGAGAGAGACCAAAGGTTGCCGCTTGCTCGGTGTAAACGCTCTTGCAGCAGCTCCAGCATTGAGGCGTATATCAGTGTTTGACTCACCGAGCACGTGCAGTTCTTGCACCCGTCGGTCCACGTCTGCTCCTCTCTGTAGGTCACTCCCTTCACGTGACACGTTCTCTCGCAATAACACGAATCCAGACCTTTCATCTTCTCCTCGGCCAGAGACAGCTGAGAAGAAAAGCACCCCACCTCACCCCAATTACACTCCATTTCTGGCAGAAAACAGATGAGCAAACGCCCGTACTTGATTGATCATTTGCGATCGGCTGTTTGCATTTTTCATTAAGCCGGAGTTATTTGGACACGCTCGATCAGAGGAGTTTCTCCTCATCAGCACCAGAGTTGTGTGCAGTTGGCAGCTGTGAGTTATTACAACAACATAAACAAGCCTTTAAATTCATAGCACAGACGCAGCACAGATGTTCCCAAAAACTGGGCTCCGATTCATCTGTCAAACAAAACCAGGAGAAATGTGCTGTGTTTACTGGCAGACCAGGACTGAGACGTTCAGTCGAGTCGAAACACTTTCCAAAAGAACCAAAGAAGATCCAGAACTATAATTATTAGATTTAAGTTGGAACGAAATTGGTACGTCAACTGCTGTAATTGTAGCTTTTTATACATTTTTCAGTATGACTTTCCCATAAATATGTTCATATACAACATATGGAATATATACAGCTGAAACTTGAAAAATTATAATATATTAGTTTCACTTTTTAAGTTGAATTACTGAAATAAACAAACTTTTGCACCATATTCTCATTTTTCGAGTTTCACCTGTAGAATAAGAGCAAACGTGTGTTTTGGAGCGACATGACTTAAAGGATTAGTTCACTTTTTAAAAAACTTTTGCTGATAATTTACTCACCCCCATGTCATCCAAGATGTCCATGTCTTTCTTTCTTCAGTCGAAAAGAAATTAATGTTTTTGATGAAAACATTCCAGGATTTTTCTCCATATAATGGACTTCAATGGTAGCCAAACGGTTCAAGGTCTAAATGACCGTTTCAGTTCAGCTTCAAAGGGCTTTAAACGATACCAGACGATGAATAAGGGTCTTATCTAGTGAAACGATCGGTCATTTCAAAAATAATAGAAAGTTAAAGTTTTATAGGCACAAATGCTCGCCTTGCGAACTCTCCTGTTCGAACTCAGTTCATCAAAATGAACGAGTCAATGACTTCGAGTCATGGACTCGTTCATCAAAAGGAACGAATCTTTTTCGAGTCATGGACTCGTTTCATCAAGAATGAACGAATCTTTTTTCGAGGTCAATGACTCGAAAAAAGATTCGTTCATTTTGATGAACGAGTCCATGACTCGAAAAAAGATTCGTTCATTTTGATGAACGAGTCCATGACTCGAAAAAAGATTCGTTCATTTTGATGAATGAGTTCGAACAGGAGAGTTCGCAAGGCGAGCATTTGTGCCTATAAAACTTTAACTTTCTTATTTATTTTTGAAATGACAGATCGATTCACTAGATAAGACCCTTATTCATCGTCTGGTATCGTTTAAAGCCCTTTGAAGCTGAACTGAAACGGTCATTTAGACCTTGAACCGTTTGGGTCCCATTGAAGTCCATTATATGGAGAAAAATCCTGAAATGTTTTCATCAAAAACATTAATTTCTTTTCGACTGAAGAAAGAAAGACATGGACATCTTGGATGACATGGGGGTGAGTAAATTATCAGCAAAAGTTTTTTAAAAAGTGAACTACTCCTTTAATGCAATAAACATGACTTAATTTCAAAACAAAATTAAATTTCTCTGTTGTGTGTGAATGTGACCGTCGTTCCGATTCACGTTCCAGCGGATGAAATGAAAATAAGACCATAATTCAGTGATTTAGAGTTCGTCACCTTGCTGGAGGTTTTGGCCAAGATGTCCTGAAGCTCCATGATCTTCTGCACGAGTCCATGAAAGTCGTTGCAGGTCGGACAGGCTAAGACAGAGACGTAAATGAGATACGCTAGTCATCATAACGGAAGGACTAAACCAAGTTTAGTAATTAACGGCACGTACTACGGTTGAGGTCCGGGCATTGTGTGATGAATCCTTGAGGCATTACAAGGATCTGAAGGTCTTGCATCACTCCCTGCATGGAAAACACACGGCCATCAGTTCAAACCATAGACTGTGAGAAACAAATATGTCCGACTGTCCGTGACGTCACCCGTAAGTTTCTAAAAAGCGCTTCTGAAGCCCAAAGTGGGCGGAGTCACTCCCGGATAACGGGTTAGCTGGATTAGCTGAGGTGACGAGACGCTAACACACAGCAGACAAACGGCTAGCAGCGACATCAGCGCCAATCCACCTGTCACTCAAGTGGCCACGCCCATAATTATGCAGAACTTTAAGGCTTAATATCATTTAAACGGATGAGTTATAAAAATATTCACCCCCCTCACAGTCGTCATGAAGGGCAATATTAGCTATATAGACTAAAACCAATTTTTGCACCAGACTGTAAACATGTTTATTCCTGCTGTAAAGTTGGGCATTTTAACATGCGGGTCTATGGGATTGACTCTCTTCTGCAGCCGGCCTCTAGTGGCCAGTGGAGGAACTGCAGTTTAAATCACTTCCATGTTGATTTCGAGAGAGACCGGAAGGTTGCCGCTTGGTTCAAACACACATTTAGATCAGAGCAGAGATGAATCAGGCACATTCATTACATTTAATGACACTTTGCATGGCATTAAATAAAATTGAGAGAGTTTATTCAACAAGCACTTAGCAAATGAAGACCTTGAGCTGCTCTAATAAATAACGCGCATGCAGACGTTCTGACCCAAAAAGAAAAATGTGCTCGGTTATTAACATGGAAAGTAAGGAATTCCCCTCAATACAGTCACCAGTCCTTCAGCAGTGCATTATGGGTAAACTCCTGATGGAGGTTCTGAAATTGTGGCTTTTAGATGTTCAAGGCTGCTTTTATTTGCTCGGCAGAATATGAACAGAAAGCTTAAAACACTATTAAGAGAGCAGAAGGACAGACGCGGATGAGCCTGACCTTTTCCCAGGACATGTTCTCCGGATTAGCACCTGTTAAGCCATATTGCTTTTCTCATAGTTTCGATTTGCGGTTTATATTTAGAGGTTTCTATCCCCGTGTCGAATCAAACTTGCACATTTTATTCAGGATTCAGTCCAACTGATGCCGGATGCCATGTGGAGATTATCCTTTATTATAATCAGCATGATCCGACCGGAGGTGTGTGAGTGAAATTAATGCAAAACACCAGTATGTCAAAAGCAACACATTGACAGCTTCTAAAACGTAAACATTTATGTTTCATAAAAACCTGTATGTTTCTGAAGTTGTCAACACATCAATATTAAGAGTCAAGGACGCAATGAATTGATCAAAAGTGACAGTAAATATATTTATTTTTCAAATAAATGCAGGTTTTTTAACTTTCTATTCATCAAAGAATCCTGAGAAATAAAATGTATCACGGTTTACACACAAATATGACTGTTTTCAACACTGATAATAATCATAAATGTTTCTTGAGCATCAGATCCTCATATTAGAGTGATTTCTGAAGGATCATGTGACACTGAAGACTGGAGTAATGATGCTGAAAATTCAGGTTTGATCACAGGAATAAATTACACTTTACTATATATCACATAGAGAACAGCTGATTTACACTGGAATAATATTTCACTATTTTTACTGTATTTATGATTAAATAAAAGCAGCTTTGATCACAGGAATAAATTATATTTCACTATTTATTCACACAGAAAACAGCTGATTTACATTATAATAATATTTCACTATTTTTACTGTATTTCTGATCAAATAAATGCAGCTTTGATCACAGGAATAAATTATATTTCACTATTTATTCACACAGAAAAAAGCTGATTTACATTATAATAATATTTCACTATTTTTACTGTATTTTTGATCAAATAAAAGCAGCTTTGGTGAGCAGAAGAGACTTCTTTCAAAAATCTATATTTTTTTAATCTTGCAGACCCCAAACTTCGCTACCGTAATCATCTCTAAAGTGCTGCTGTACATCGTTTCCAATATTTCCACATTGTAATAACATTGTTTGCATGTGTTGCGTTAAGTTTTATTTTAAATGTCTATTTATACACTGCAAAAAATGCTTTTCTTACTTAGTATTTGTGTCTTGTTTCCAGTCCAAATATCAAAAAATTCTTAAATCAAGATGCATTTACTAAAGTAGTAAAATGTCTTGTTTTGGGGGGAAATGTATCAAAATTAAGTGAGTCGTTGCTTAAAACAAGGACAATTTTCTGCCAATGGGATAAGAAAAATATTCTTGTTTGAATGAAGATTATTTTTCTAACACCATTGGCAGATAATTTGGCTTTTTTTAATCAATAACTCACTTAATTTTGATTTATTTCCCCTGAAAACGAGACATAATATTTAAAGGCATTTTACTCATCTAGTAAATGCATCTTGATTTAAGATTTTCTTTATATTTGGACTGTTTGGCACAAATACTAAGTAAGAAAAGCATTTTTTGCAGTGTATATTAAGTCTGTTATTCCAACTTCGTATTCACTCTATGATTGTTCTTTTAAAAGGCATTTTTCTGGAATATTTAGGTTGTGTATTTTAGCGCTGCTAGCTTGAACACTAATAATTCATGGTTATTTTTATTTAATAGTAGTTTTGAAGCCATTAGAATGCATTTTACACCAATGAAAATGATGATCTTCTCAGTGTTTCTGTCTCGTTTTCCAGCACAAATATCTAAACATTCTTACATCA